TATACAGTATATATATACAGTATATATTTTTCGGCTTATTTTTGTCTTATTTTAAATAATTTTGTGTCATATTTAGGCCTCCTTTAATGTTTGCTGAGCCTCCCTAGTGCCATATTAAAGTGTACATACTGGTTTTTCAAACATGGGAGCTGGTTTATTGCTGGTTTAAAGTGGACTACCAGGTCTAACTATCCTTCCAGCTGCTGACTAGTCATTTAGACCAGCCATTATTATCTAGTGACCACAAAAACCATGTAAAAAAGCATTCGAAACTGGTTTTATCTAGATTTTTCATTAGGCTTTGGGAGGGGGGGTCCCTTTTTCCAGAGTTTTAGGCTGAATTATACACAGTTTTGATTTGCTACACAATTTTGAGTTTTTCCTGTTTTGTTGTATTGCAGATACTTGCAAGAGCGATTCAAACAAGTTCAAGAGGAGGTCAGTCTGTTGAAGAGTAACATTCAGAAATATAAGGTAAGGCTGAAAAGTCTTAATTTATTCATTTTTTTTAAGGTTTAATCAGAGTTTAAGTTACACAGCTTTAATATTGCATTGTAATATTTCACTGTATTTGCAATATCGCTGTCTTGCTGGATATGTTATAGACTGCTCTGGATCGCAGAAGAAACCCTGAGATCGGTGGCAAGTCTAACAGCAGAGCACTTTCTGGAGTCCTTTCTCCTAAACAAGGTGCTCAGGTCATGTGATTGCTTTTGTCTGAGAAGCTTAAAGAACTGAACTAACAAGGAAGTGCTATTGCTATTCAACATATCATACGAGTGCATTCACTTTTTCACACCTGCATTCCTGATGATTGCAGTGCAGGGTTTGTTGTCCGAGGATAATGGTTGCAGTTTACCAGCCACACCTCAGTCTATCTCAGACCTGAAGTCTTTAGCCACAGCCTTACTGGAGACCATTCATGAGAAGAACATAATCATTCAGCACCAAAGACAGACCAACAGGTTTGTGTGAAACTGCTTTTGCACTGACTGTTTTATCATTTATCACAAAAGCTGTATAATAAAAAAAAAATGTTGTAGAAACTATTTCACTCGGAAATTACAAATCACAATTAATTACAAGGAAATTGCAAGTAACATTGAATTAAGCTTGAAATTAAGTAGGAAGACTGAAATAAAACTTGGAATTGCGAGTTTATATCTCGTAATAATGACTTTAAAACCCACAATTCTGAGAAATAAAGTCAGAATTGTGAGATAAAAAGTCGCAATTACCTTGTTTTATTTTTTATTCAGTGGCGGAAACTGGCTTCCATATATAATAGTAATCATCTGTACAGAATTAATTTTATTGTGCTTTTATAGAATTCTGGGAAACCGAGTTGCTGATTTGGAGAGAAAGCTGAAGACTCTTGAAATTTCTGGGCTTTGGAGTCTCCCAGGTGAGTGTTTCTTATATGTCGGTCACGTTTTTTGTGCTTTTCATTTTCCATTTGTTGAAATTGTTCTTTTTGGCTTGTGTTAATTATTATTTTTACCCGTATACCTATTGACTATCTATCGTTTTGTTTATAGGATAAAATCGTAGCGTTGAATCTAAGTAATTACTGTATATTGTAATTAATATATTTTAAAAGTACTAAATTGTAATGTCATCATTACAAATGTGCACTTTCAAATGTATTTAAACACAAGTTCCAATAGAAATTACATTAAATTATATTTTAGTTTACCATAAATGATTGTCAGCAGTAGTTTAACCAGATTTTTAGACAATAGAAGTAATTATGAAATTACATATAAAGATGTACTTAAGTCCTGCTTAAGTGGGTCAAAAAAGCACTTTATTTGCATTTAACATAATTAAGTGTCCAAAAACATTAATTCCACACGCATATTCTTTTAAATTATATAATTTTTGTGATAAACACTGTTTTTAAAAGTATGCTAAAGTGTACTTCTTTTTTTTTTTTTAACCCAGCATTTTTTAGAGTGTAGTGTAACACTATTATAGGTGCAACACACTATGTGTTGAGGTGGTTTGCAGTATGTTGTTATGCAGTTGCTAAGTGGTGTATACATTGCTATGTAAAGTCAAATCTCTCTATGATATTTTTTTTATATAGAAAGAAAATTCTTCCATTTTCTTTCCATTTTGTAAGTCTGATCACTTAGAAAAGTAACAGCACACTTTAATCTTCCAGTTATTTTGTTTCAAATCACTAACCTAAGTATGAGCAATAGAAATAGTGATGCTTGACTTGGCAAAGCACCACTAATGAACAGATTTTAGTTTAGTTTCAAAGTTCTTCCTTAATAGCTTATATTGGCCATTTAACAAGTGTCCACATAGGCCTACTTTTCTAAAATAGTCATTCAAGCACCAGCTTCAAGTACTTACAGCCTCCGTCCACAAGAGGGCAGTAAAGCACTTTGACTGAAGCACAGATCAGACGCTCACATGTCACAAGACTGTGGTTCAGCCGCTATAAAACTGACAAGCATCCATTACTGAAACTGATTGCCCACATTACAAACACATTTGGGGAATGTGGTATTATTAGGGAACTTTGTGGATGAGAGAGAGGATCACAACTCAGTCTATGAACGTGATCGAATGGTAGAGTCGGTGGCCTTGAAGAAATGAACTGGAGAAATCAGTTAAAGGTGCACTGGCAAATTTTTTCCTCATTAAAAAAAGTTTGAATCTTGAACGAATAGTGCTTTTGGTAAATATGTTTAAAGTGATGTGCACTCGCATGAGATGAAGACTTCAGTCAGGAGCCTAAAAACGATGATTTATTTTACATGGGGTGAGTGGCCTCATGGGGGCAGACATGTTGAGATCACATGACCTCCCGAATACTACTTGCTTTATGTTGATATCCACTTGGACATCTGGCCACAAAATAAATAAATCATTGTTTAACAGAGCATTGGTAACTAATGCTTTTGTGTGAAGCATCCTCCATGCCAGTAGGTGTCAGTATAAGGCATATTGGCCAACATGACAAAAAAATATGCTTAATTGTGTTGAATGTGCACTTATTCTGTACTTTAATTCTTGAAAGGTTATTTTTAAAAACTACTTGCAGATAATGCAATATTAATGAAATAAAAGGCCACTTAAGTGACTTAAAGAGAGACACTTTCATGACTGTTTCTTAACACACTTAAGTACACTTTTAAAAAGTGCACTTTGTAATATCAAATTAAAAGTACCCTTTAAAAGATGTTTTAATAATCTTTTGTTGTGCTTTTATAGAAGCACTATATTTTTACACGTTGACTAACATACGCACATGTAAAGTACTTAAATATAATTTTAACTGTAGTGTGTTATTTTAAAGTTAGTATATTTGAAACATACGAAATTACAACTTCATCATTACAAATGTTAATTAACAAATATATCTAAATACGTAACTTAAAAGTTTCAAAGGAATTGCACTAAAGTGTATTTTAGTTTACCATAAATGATTGATATTTCACAAGCAATAGAAGTAATTATGAAATTACATATAAAATGTACTTTTGTAGTCCTACTTAAGTGGGTCAATAAGCACTCTAAAATGCATTTATTATAAGCTTAAACTATAATACATTTTCATTTAATTGCAATTAACATGCAATTAAGTGTCCGAAAAGATTACATTCACGTCACACTTAAGTATATTGTTTTTTACTATATTATCTCATTTTAAAAGCATTCCAAAGTGTACTTTTTTTTTTCACAAGGGAACATGGACACAAAATGAGTGCACCTTTATTTCCAGAGAGAAAATAGAAGAGTTTTGGACGTCTTTTTTTTTCATGTTGTCTGTTTAGGTGACAGGCTGTACTTGTTTCCTTGTTTCCTGTCAGTACAGTCTGTCTGACTTAAACTTGTTTTCCCCTCACGACTCTTTGTACCTGCCATCGCAATGACAAAGCAACGCGTGAGAGAGATCTTTTCTTGTTTCATGTTTCCCAGAAGTCACCACAAGAGGAATTTAGCAGCGACTTCTGTGGCTTCCGAGCCGTACGACCCGTGACGCAAAGCTCGGTTTGTCCATAAGATGGTTTTGTTCCCCAGTGTGCGGCCGGACAAGCAGTGAATGAATGGATGGATGGGCAGCTGCCAGGTGGGGTTCGCCTCTCATCCATCCATCCTGCTTTGAATTAACATGCAGTTAAGTGTCCGAAAAGATTACATTCACGTCACACTTAAGTATATTGTTTTTTACTATATTATCTCATTTTAAAAGCATTCCAAAGTGTACTTTTTTTTTTCACAAGGGAACATGGACACAAAATGAGTGCACCTTTATTTCCAGAGAGAAAATAGAAGAGTTTTGGACGTCTTTTTTTTTCATGTTGTCTGTTTAGGTGACAGGCTGTACTTGTTTCCTTGTTTCCTGTCAGTACAGTCTGTCTGACTTAAACTTGTTTTCCCCTCACGACTCTTTGTACCTGCCATCGCAATGACAAAGCAACGCGTGAGAGAGATCTTTTCTTGTTTCATGTTTCCCAGAAGTCACCACAAGAGGAATTTAGCAGCGACTTCTGTGGCTTCCGAGCCGTACGACCCGTGACGCAAAGCTCGGTTTGTCCATAAGATGGTTTTGTTCCCCAGTGTGCGGCGGGACAAGCAGTGAATGAATGGATGGATGGGCAGCTGCCAGGTGGGGTTCGCCTCTCATCCATCCATCCTGCTTTGCACAGTGGTCTGTGAAGCAGCCGCAGTGAAGCTCCATGCTGTTCGGCATACAGAATTAGCCTGGCTTTTTAATTAGCTCAGACGCCGCTCTCCATAACACACCAATGACCTTTTCAAACAAAGAAAGTTGAGCGTACAGCATCATTTCAGTGCCTTTTAAAAATAAAGTCTCTCTTGAGAAGTCCAGAAGACCATATGGAGCCCACGGCTGCTGTCAGCTGTCAATCTAGGAGCGTTTCTGTAGATTTACATAGTGTTCCCAAAAAGTTTGGACACTTTAACAAGGATAGTTCAACCAAAAGTGGACATTTTGTCAGTATTTACTCACATCATGTTGTTCCAAACCCTTATGACTTTCTGTGGAACACAAATGAAGATATTTTTTTAAATTATCCAGTAAAATTATGTTTTAGGACCTCATGGAGTAGTCAAAAACAGTTTAAATAAATTTTTTTTTTTTTTTTACTGATACAAGCTAATTTGATATTTTGTTATTTAAATGCAATGATAATTGTAACCCTGTAAAGCCTGACATATTAAATGATAGTCAGAAATATATATATATATTGATACATCAGGCTTTTATGGCACATATAGTATGATATAGTGAGAATATGGTGCTGATAGCTTATAATGTAAATAAATGAGGTATTTAGTAGAGGTCGACCGATAGTGGATTTTGCCGATACCGATAGCTAGGTTGGACCACACTGGCCGATACCGATTAATTAACCGATAGTTTTTAAAATGGATACTGAACAAAAACTAAAATAATGCTTTATTAAAAAAACAGTACTGAACCGTAGTAGTAGTAGTAATAATAATAATAAAAATGTTGAAATTAACACACTCTAACAAGGAACAATACTTTCATTACACAGCTTTCATTAATCTTAATGTTACAAATGGACTCTTATTTTAAAGTGTTACCATTTCATTTCAACAGTCATGCTTAAAGAAGCAACGGACGCAACCCGGAAAACTATCGGCATGGATTTTTGCCGATAACCGATAGTTCCAGCAAAAAACTATCGGTGCCGATTAATCGACAAAACCGATACATCGGTCGACCTCTAGTATTTATAACAGTACTGTATATCAGACTGCTTATATAAAATGCATAACACTCTATATCTCCCAATAATATATCTTAGTAAGATTTTTAAAATGTTTATAGTTTTAGAATCAAAGCTGTGTAGTTTTTTTTTTATTAATTACGTAAAATGCAATGCAATACAATGATGATTGAAAGATGAACAAACAAACATTCCTTAAAAGCCTGATGATCATTATACGCTCGCATTTATACATGATTTCTCTAAATAAATAAAAAAAGTTTCACAGCAAAAAGACACGTGAAGCTCGAGCTGAAGGTGAACGTTTGTACAATTATATTAAAAGGCCTTTTACTTCATAACAACACTAAACTATCAATCAGACGACAGAAGGCGTGACAGTCGATTGTGTGCAACAGGTTTTCAGCAAAGTTTGATCATGTTGATCATTTGGAGGCCTTGAAAATGTGCATATCAAATATGATACAGTAGGATATATAGGGCTAAATGTGACTTAAGTATCCAAATACTTTTTGTGGCCACTATGCAAGGCTTATAATCCATGTTTGACAAGTTCTCTCAAACGCAGTGCAGCTATAGTTCTACTCTTCTGTTTATTATATTTCATAGCACAGTGGCCCTAGAAAGCAGCGTTTAAAGTGTTATGATGGCTCCAGCAGATAGTGCTCAGTCCCCTGCGAGAAACATATGGCATTAACCTGTGATGCATGCAGCCAGTACTAATGGAGACAGATGAGGGCGGCTGTAGTCTTCCAGTGTCCCGTCTGATTAATTTCACTCTACATATGTACCGCTATAAAACTGTCACCTTTTGCGTGGGAGAGCCGTGTAGATTTGTGTGTCTCAGTGAGATTTTGGATTCATAATTTTCTCTCGTCACATGTTGTGTCGACTTTGTTCTTTGATCTGACGAAGGTGTATTTACACGCCTTTAACTGTTAGATGCTGCAAATAAGGAAGATTAAGAATGAATATAGAACTATTGAATTAGATATAATGTACAATGTGATCTATAATAAATATTTTATATACACTTTCAAATATATGCTGTGAATATATGCATATGAATATATGTTTCATTTACACAGAAACAAAGCACTTGTTCTGTCTGACTCTAGATACTTTGGTGGTTCACAACTGCATATTTTTGTGCTGCTTTTATGCAACATTGCATCTTTATACCACATAATTTGCACGCATCCTAAGTCTTAAGCCAGCTACTCTGTAATAGATTTAAACTTACTTTAAATAAATTGTAAAATTTTTATAGTATTTGTTTTTTAATTTACAAAATATATTTATTATTATTTTACATAACTGCATACATCATATGTCATTATAAATATTAATGTTTTAATTTATTTAAAATTAAATTTAAAATAATTGAATCACTATCAAATTATAACTTTAATAAATTTAATTTATAAATTATAAATTTAAAATGTAATTTTATTTTATTTTACAAAATTACATATTTTGTCATTTTTATAAGGTTTATAATCCATGAATTTTTGCATTGGAAAAACATTTGTTTATATGTAATTAAAATTAATTGACACATCATTTTACATATCTATACATTTTTATTAAAATATTAATTTTATTACATTATTTTAAAAATAGAATTATTATTTACTGTTTAAATATTTACATAATTACATACTGTTTGCGTACTATTTACATATTTTGTCATTTTTTATTAATGTAATTTTATTTGAATGTATGGAAATTAAAATATAAAAAATTGTGTGCAGTTCAAATTATGTAATTTGTTTAGTATTTACATTTAACTCATTAATATGTATTAATTAATAATATGTATGAATTAATATTTTAATTAAAATGAATTAATTTACATATTAATTCATTTTAAAATAAATGTAAAAGTGATTTATTTATAACATTTACACATTTAACATCTTATATTTTTGTGCTGCCTTTATGCAACGTTTTATTTTACACCTAATTTGCAGCAGACACACATCCTGCTCAGAGCAATCTTAAGCCAGCTACTCTATAATAGAATTAAAATGACATTAAAACAGCATTTTTTTTTTTTTACATTTACTGAATATATTTTACAATATGTAATTAAGTATAAATGATTTAATGTAAATTAAATGTAAAATTATGCATTTTAAATTCATTTTATATAAATTTATAATATCATAATATAGTTATAATATCTTATATAATGTCATATAAACGATGTAAAATATGCATTTTTATTTATGTACAATTATTTAAAACTTTCATATTTTGGTTCCATTTAATTCACTTTAAATGTCAAATGTACTTATGGAATTTGAAAAATCGACATATTTGGTTATTTGTATTTACTATTTGAATTTATGGAAATGTATTACAAATTGTGTGCATTAAAAATTATGTAATTTGTTTAACATTTCCATTTAATTAATTTTTAAGTTGTTTTTTTGTTTTTTTGTATTGCTTTAATAGTACATGTGGTCATATGAAAGAGCTTGATTGTCTGTTGGTAGTTTGCACTGCTAACAGTCCTCTCACTGTAAATGTTGAAGTCTGGTCTCTGTGATGTTCAACAGGAGGCACAGATGCCATCGCTCTGAGCGCCGCTCCTCTGTCCTCCATCCACCGTCCACAGAAAACCACTAACCCTCGAGCCGCTGCAGGTGAGCCGCTGTAATCGTGTGTAACCAAATCTGCCATTTGCTAATCGTCCCGCCAAGAGGCTGCAGAGCCGTAATTAGCTCCTTCTCTGAGCGGCCCACCTCTCTTGTCCCTTCACTATCACATGATCCTTCATGCTCGCTCTCATTGGTCGGTTCGGCTGACCGTCCAATCTCTCTCAAATGTCGTGGCATTTGGCAAATGTTACCGAAATCTCGTTTGCTGACATTCACCAACTTTTGGGGCGTGTTTTGTGGTCGGCACTGCCCCATAAATATGGATGCCGCGGTGTTTGGTGTTCCTGTCGTCCCACAAATGAGCCGCATGCGGTGTGTTTAACCTTTTAGCTGGATGCTCTCAAATATGGGTCAGTAATCCAGCAGAATGAAGCAGACGGAGACAGAACTAAACGCTCTTCTCTCATGCCTTTGTTGCGTTTATTTTATTTGCTTGTGATATTTGAAACTTAATGTTCCAGATACATGCTTTGTCAATATGTGTGCCTTCTGTGTAAATTTATAAGGATGATAATTAATTATTTATTGCAGATTATAATTAGTTTTAGCACTAATGGACAAAATTTTGAATATTTTTTTTAAGTAAAAGAATTCGCTTATACTCACCAAGGCTGTATTTATTTGATCAAAAATACAGTAAAAGCCGTAATATTGTGAAATAATATTATAATTTAAAGTAATTGTTTTCTATGTGAATATATTGTAATATATTTCTGTGATCAAAGCTGTATTTTCAGCATCATTACTCCAGTCTTCAGTGTCACATGATCTTCAGAAATCATTCTAATATGCTGATTTGCTGCTCGAGAAACATTTCTGATTATTATCAATGTTGAAAACAGTTGTGCTGCTTCGTATTTTTGTGGAAACCGTGATACACTACCATTCAAACATTTTGGGGTGTTTTATTTAAGGGGGTCTGAATACTTTCCGTACCCACTGTATATAAGTATTACGTCTAGGCTCAGAGTAATACTTACTGGGATTAGAGGTATAGTAAATATACATTTTATGGCAGCCCATTTCTACCACGGACTAAAAAATAATAAAGGTAATTGTGACTTTTCATTTTATAATTAAACTTTTTTTTCTAGCAATTCTGAGATATAAACTAAAAAAAAGCTAAGAATTGCGAGATATAAACGCTCAAAAAAAATAACTGACTTTTTTCTTGTAATTCTGTTTTATTTGTTTCCACCATGAAGTAAAAAATAAAAAAAGGTAATTGCAACTTTTTATCTCACAATTCAGACTTTTTTCCCCTCACAATCAGGGACGGATTAGCCAAGGGCACTAGACCAGAGGGGGGCCCAGCCGAAATACTGCTCCTCCAGGAAGGAACGCAATTTCAACTGTGCCCCCTCAGGATTTTAAACAAAGTGGATTTTGAATGCAGCTTCCAAAAGACCAAAAATTGTTATATTTGATACGATTAGAACGTTCAGTGCGGCACAGAATCAGCTGCCAAATTCAAATCTGCACTCGTGCTTTGGCTGGCGCTGAGCCAGACGCGTTTTTACAGTGCTGTGCATTATAAACATTATCCCACAGGAATCTGTTGAGCTTATGAATGCAATGGCCAATCAGAGGCATTCAGATGAGTCATCGCTGAAAAGCCCGTGTTTTGTTCAGTGCGTGCGCTCGCTGACTGAATGCTGCTCTCTGGCGAATTCTCTCATCATAAACAAAGTGCAGATGTGTGTACGATATTCATTTCACAGTATAAACCTCTTCAGTGATTATAATGGGAGTTGTTGAGAGTGCTTGAACTCTGTCTAGACTGAAGTTAATATTCTTTGATAATGCAAATATTCTTTGCTCTCTTTATGTACAATGAAAGTGTTATAATTAGTAACTTACAATGTTTTTATTAAATTTACTTTAAATACAAAGTCAGTCGTATTAAAAATATTCTATGACATGACACCCATATCTAGTACAAGTTAAAAGACGGGTTTTATGCATAGGCTAGTTAATAGATTACACTAATATTAGGCTACTTTTCCCATAGCCCATTATAGATCAACTAACACCACTGTGCCCTAATCCGTCCCTGCCCTCATGTCGTTTCAAACATTTCTTTTGTGGAACATAAAATAAGGTATTTTGAAGACTGTTGGTAACAAAGCTGTTTT